GGAAGGAAGGAAGGAAGGAAGGAAGGAAGGAAGGAAGGAAGGAAGGAAGGAAGGAAGGAAGGAAGGAAGGAAGGAAGGAAGGAAGGAAGAAAGAAATGAAGCCTAAAATTAAGATGGACTCTTACTTAAAAAAAGCGAAGTCATTGTTCATAAAATTCAATCGTATTCAGCAAAACATGATTTTCTAAATTAAAGCCAGGAGAGTTTGTTCAAAAGGTATATTAACTTGAATCGATTGTCCCTCTTAGCGGATGCGTTTCAATAAGATTACCACTAGGTTATTCTCCTGATTGATGTGGCAAGCACCTTTATGAAGTCGTTATCCAGAGACTAACCACATTGAAAATAATTTCTAGCACACGTCCGATAACTGAAGTCATAACAACCCACCTCGACTAGCTATGGCAGGAATAACACTCAATAATTCAGATCGTTATTAGTTTACTTTGCCACCAGGTGGCTAAGGCTTTCTTCAAGAGAATTCTATTAACTTTATTCAAATTCATCGTTCGATCTACCATGAAAAAATGCTCTACAATAGCACCAATTTATACTGTTCTCTATGGACAAAGCAATAGAAGAAAAGAAGCAGATGCATTATTTATATTTGCTTTTTTCTATACTTTCCATATCTTTAATTTTTTTATTCATGAGGTCAAGTACCCTCTATTTGTCGTCCAACCAGAAGTATGTTATGTTATGGCCTCCTGGTGTTAAGAGTGAATGAATGAACCTTTATTTATACAGGGTAGCCCTTTCAGTTACATAAAATAACTGTTATCAATAGGAGCCCTGATAAAATCCATACAATAATAAATATAATTTAAGTAAAATACTAAAATATGGTACTAATACTATGCTAATAAAACATAAAATATAACGCTAACAAAATAATGCTAAGGCCAGGCCTTGAACTTGGACCCCCACATGCCCCGAGTCCAACGCAAACGAGCAAGAAGTTGGACTCGGCACATGTGAAAATCGACGCCAAAACCCGGCCCAAACATACATGACCTATACGCATGTATATATTGAATTTATAAATATCTATATAAAATTTACATATAAATATAAAAAAACGATACGAGAACGTGTAGAAAAACTTAATAATAAAAGCTGCGATTAGCATTTTCCGTTCTTACCCTAGGCAGATGTAGAAGGTGACTTTGTCTAGTTTTGCGCTTTGAAACACTACTATTGAATTTAAAATAGTTAATGAAAAATTGTGGACAGCGGCCAGTAATGCATTTCTTTACTAGTTTAAATGTATGATGGTCACGCCTACAGGAAAGAGAGACGCAAGGGCAAAGCATCCTTAAACCGGGTTTATGTACCCAATCGCAAGCAAAAGGAAATCGCCCCTTCTTGCACGTGTTTATACGTTGAGTCTAATAAGAACGACTCTTGTGTTCGTACTTATGCTTGAAATACGAACCGGCTTGGGTCACTAGCGCAAACCAGATGCTCTACAGACTCCATGCGATCGCAAAATCTTGAAATAATGGCTTTTTGTTTTAGTATTGACTCGATAACAATTCATACAACGAAATTGCACCAACGTTTAGATGAATTAATGCTTATTTATTATAAATATATTCTTGAAAGTATGAACGGAAGGCCAGTAAGCAATAAGAAAAAATTCAAAAAAAGTTTCCGGATACTCGTTGACGGGGGCCTAAGTTCTCAGCCTCGCGAAATTTTTTTAAATGCCTTAGTTCAATAGGCCTCTTCGGCTCAGACGTAATGTTTTCCCATTTCAGATCACATGTCATTCCCTAGAGTATCATTTCTTTGTTTAAGGTTTACGCTCGGTTGCACATGAGAAGACACATGAATATGGATACAGCTCAAACAAAGAATCTTATTCTCAAGGGAATGACACGTGAAAAAATCGTCATCTTACGCCCACCTATAATGCTCTTATCTTTGTGTTTTTGTATTTGTTTGTTTCAGGGAGTGGCTGGCTTAAGATCAAGCCTGAGTACGTGGACAGCTTGAGTGACGAGGTTTGTACACATGCTCTGAGTTCTTCAATTGTTTCGTGTGATATAGTTAGTATGCAGTTAGGAAGTCGTATAAAACTTCCGGCGATAAAACTTCAGCCTCATAATCCTAAACCACTCTTCCATTTACGTTTTGTAATGCGAATTAAAACTTCAATTTCTATTATGCTAATTATCTTTTTCATTTCAGCTCGATGTCTTGATCGTTGGAGGATATTTTGGTGTTGGAGTAAGTATGTATGTCGACTCACATTTTCGATTAGGTTACAGTGAAGATTTCTTAGACCGTATTTTACTTGCTTTCGATCTGCGAGCCAGCAAATCCCTTCAACATGTATTTATGAATCATTTTCAGTTATGGCCAAGAAAACAGCCCACATCTGGGGCTTTTCGAGGACCATGTTTTACTCTTTCCCCAAAACTCTAGGCCATTCCATTCCATCTGCTAATAAAGTGACTAATAAAAAATGAAAAACCAATAAGGCAATCAGTCTAATATTAATATCATATGTAATAGGACTCCATGCTTTCCAATTAAGAAATAATTGAATGGCGAAAATTCTAGGGCCGCCAAAATATTGCACGATACCTGTTAATCCATATAGGTAAAAGCCGGATTATTCTTTCATTTTCAAGAACTGTCCAATTAAAGAAAATAATTGGACAGTTATCAATATGGGATTAATACGTAGCTATACGATTAGGAAGGGGACAGGTTTTCCAGTTCTTACATACACTTATTTGGGGGAAGACCCAAAAATAATGTCCTTTTTTCACGAGGGTATAGCACTTAATAGCTAGTGGCTAACAAACCTGTGGCACTCATTCCGTGATCGAATTGGAATTTAGGAGTTGATTTTTGTGGATCGAGGGAGGAAAACCGGAGAACCCGGAAAACCCTCGAAGCACAGGAGAGAACCAACAAACAACTCTACTCATATACAACACCGAACCCGGCGGGACTCGAACTCGGGTCGCATTGATGAGAGGCGAGCGCTCACACCGCTGCGCCACCCGTGCTTCCCAAAACCCGAGAAGCTTGCGTCTGCACACTGCGTACCAGCTCATAATAAACTCATATCAGACAGGATAGGATAGATCTCTTTACCTTGGACGCAATGTTTTCCAGAATCAAATTTTTCGTTCGCGCTGTATCCATATTCATGTATCTTCTCATGAGCAACTTTTAAACGGAGAAATGATACTACATAATGATATATGGTATGAAATTTGAAAACATTACGCCCAAAGTAAAGAGGTCTATCACGCCTTTAGATGTACCAAGGGCCTTCCGATTGTAAGATGTCATCGAATGAGATAATATGATTTTGTATATTGTAAATATTCTAGATTCGCAGTGGAATGATTTCTCACTTCTTGTGCGCTGTAGCCGTTCCTCCAGACCAGAAAGGACAGCATCCATCTCAGTTCTACTCATTCTGTAAGGTAAATATCACTAATGGAATAGTTGGTCCTAATTAGGGACCGATTTCATTGATTTAGGAAGTGGGAACCGATAAATAAAAGAATACATTGTTATCGCCAATCATCACTTGAAGTACAGCAGTGGCGCACTGAACGGGGTTAAACTGAAAGCACGTGAAGGCGCCAAAGCCAGCTGCTATACAGTCCATGTTAAATGACCCCGGAGGACAGCTCTATTTAGGGTTGATTTTGAGAGAAGGGGGAAAAAACCGGAGGACCGGAAAAAATCTCGGAGTCAGGAGGAGAAGCAACCAACTCGGGTCACATGGGGTGACTGGGATTGGAACCCCGGACCCTAGAGGTGAGAGGCGAGCGTTCTACCACCTCGCCATCTTGACCCCAAATTTTCTCCATTTTTTTCCCATTTCATATGTTGTAGTGTAAGTTTTACTTCCATTCGTTCTCAGTACCCGATACGTTGCTGTATTTTCTTTCCATTTCATGTTTTATTCTTTCCATTCATTTCCATCTCTGTTTCTTATGGATGTTTATGGGTTTGTAGGTTGGCACAGGATACACTCTGGATGAACTACGGGAACTCGGAAACAAGCTAAAACCTCACTGGCAACCGTTTAAAACCAACAAACCTCCACAAAACATAGCACTTGCACCAGGATTTAAGGTATTGGGCATTAGACATTCTACAATGAAAACCTTAATTCTAGTCAATCTCCCTTCATATGGACTCAATTGCAATAACATCGTCCGGTTCAAAACATCCAACTGCGCGTTTAGCTGTTTTGTTTCCAGTCCTCATTCCGAGGCTACTGTAACTCAGTTTTTACGTATTTTTCTGTTATCATTCGACAAAAATATGATATATGCCTACAAGAAGCAGAAATATGGAAAGGAAGGATAAAAACAATTTAACTTTACCTCCGCGTTCGCTTCGTTCTTTCAAGCTCCAAAAATACTTAACTTAGGGCCGGTCATTTTGTCCACTCATGCCGCTTTGCGTTCCGCGCTCGCCGCTCAGCTGGATAGAAGACAGAAACTGAGACTAGCTGAAAGTTATTCTGGGAAATGAATCAACTATCTTCTGGCGTATTCATTCAAGATACACAGTCGACGTTAAAAGGCTTCATGCTTCATTCATTCTTACGTTCCACGAATTGTATCATCTTCGTACTTCTGTACGTACTTCCCGCGTACTATAGAGGATGTGCACCATCACGTGATGGCAGCCATGACAGGAGGCATAGCAGCAGAGTCTTTCTCCCCTGGGAAAGTAAATTCTTTCTCATGTAAACCAGATTAGACCAGAGTCTGTCTCCAGTCATGGCTGCCTTCACGTGATGGTGCAAAGCCTCTATTTCGATCTCTGTTTCTATATTCCATGTTTTTGAACTCGACAATTAGTCTAAATGATTTTGCCTTTGATTAGTGTATGTATACATAAGCGGAGCATTGACATATTCCTTTATTTCATTGATTAATTAATTTTTTTATTAATCTTGCAGGAAAAACCAGATGTGTGGATCGAACCTTCCAAGTCTAAAATCGTTCAGATCAAAGCTGCGGAAATCATTGCTTCGGACAGGTCTTTACTTTTACTATACCATAATGGATTATTGGGAGACGCAAATAAAGACAATTTGTGGCTCGCAAAAATATACAGACAAGGAGTTAGAATTTCAAAATATAAAAAATGATGGAGAAAGAGAGAGAGAGAAAAGGTGGAAAAGGACAGAGGGAGAGAGGGAGTGATGAAGGAAGGGAGAAAAGAGTGAGTGAAGGAAAGGCGAATCATAGTATTACTCTGTATTTTACAGCTGTGCAATATGCTGTTTTATACAACTTCCAATCTTCCAGCTAACTAAAATTCGAATTTCTAAGAGTGGGTCTTTATCGAATTTGGTTTGCTATCCTTACCTTTACATTCAAAACAGCTCGTATTTGGTTTTACATTCAAAGGGTTTCTCTTTCAGGTACAAAACGGGCTCAACGTTAAGGTTCCCGAGGCTGGAATGCATACGAGATGACAAACATTGGTATGAGTGTCTTGATCTCAAAGAACTGGAGAAGCTAAGAACGGTACTGAAACTATACTCAATCTCAATTACCAATTCCCCTTCGGTCTTGAAATGACCAATCACCTACAAGCTGAGCTGTGAACGCGGCGCGCAAAGTATGAATGGACAAAATGACAGGCCCTAAGCAGTTTTGGAGACTGTTTTTATTCTTCCTTTCCATATTTCTGCTTCTTGTAGGCACGTATATTATATTTTAGTAACAAAACCACTCATATTCGTAAGCTGCAGGGCTGCTACTAGCGCCTAAAATACGCAGCCCGTAAAGCCCTCCAATTGTATTGTTTGTAAAGCGCTATGAACTGTTATTGATAATAGCGCTATAACAAATGATCGAATTTAATTTGTTACAATAGTCTGGGAATGAGGGCCAGCGGCAAAACAGCTAAACGCGCTGTGATTACCTGTGAAACAAATTCACCGCTCAGCTAGTATCTTCTATCGATGGCTCTGGCAACCTATTATGAAATAGGTGTAAATAGACGATATGATGTTCTTTGGTTTTGCTTGGTCAACAGATGGCTGAAGGGAAACTTACATATCAGCATACTGATATGGATGGTACTTCTGAGCCGACCAGGAAGAAACGTCGGGTGGCGGCTCGTGTAGAGCAACCACGGACTGTTGCAGCGCACTTCCGTCCAGCGGATGTGTCTTCTGTCACTGAAGTTAGTAAGCACCCTCGTTTCATTGATTTGTCTCAATCCAAAACCTCCAAAATTGGACATTTTCGTTGACCTCGCCGCGTCGTGGTCTTGGCAAATTTAATTTTGTTCGACAGGGCAGACTAAAAATGACAAGCCCGCTACTTTCACGATTTTTTTATTTAACTGAGTTTAATACTCCAAATTTTTAAGCGTTTCATTTGTGTCACTGCTGCTCGAAACTTGTAACGAAAGTTTGTCGAATTAGAGTAATCACGAGAATGTCAGTTTTACTGCTGATCAAAATATCACCTCTTTCAAAGTACACGGCTTTATATCTCAAATACGCATTTAATAAATTTTGGCCACATTTCATATTTTGCTATTTAGCTCCAAAAGAACGTGTTTACGAAATATTGAGCTTAAATGTGTAAAGCTGTCCTTATGGCGAAAGGCCAAAAACCATTTTTCTGACCTGCCATTTTGTTCTAGTGTACATGATACGTGACGGATAACCCCCTTATAACCGCACTATCAGTTGTTCTTACCTTCCTGAAATCCACAGTTGGACAAAATGGACAAGATTTATGGAAGTCTACCTTCAGGGGAAAAAATGCTCTATCGAGCAAACGTTCTTGCCTAGGTTCATATATTCTAGTCAGTTTTGCTAAAGGTTCCAGTTCCAAAAATGTCCGGGAAAATTTCCAAAAGGCAGGGTATTAATAAGAAATCATTATTGATTTATTCTTTTATCATTCCCAAAGGTGTCAAAGCTATTTGCAGGTAAAGAATTTTGTATCATCAATGGACCAACGAGTGAACCCAAAGCTCAGCTCGAGAAAAAAGTCGTCGAGGTAAGGCAAAGTTGAAAGATATTTTTATGTTTTGATATAATATTTTACATAATTATGTGTTGAAGAAGTGTTAAGAGTGATGCCTTGGAAACTCGGTTACACTTTACAGTGCAAAAAAATGGTTCTTGCGGATTCACTCAAAGCAAGTTGCAACTAATAACTTACATTCGGAAGTCCATATAAGACAAAGAGCAGTAACAACATGATCTACTACACCTTTTCACCACATCCTAAAATTAATCCCATAATAATAAGCACAATAAGCTCGTTACCAGTTTTCCTTGGAATTTCGCGGATTCTGGTTAGAATTGGTTCTGCCTGCCTGCCTGCCTGCCTGCCTGCCTGCCTGCCTGCCTGCCTGCCTGCCTGCCTGCCTGCCTGCCTGCCTGCCTTCTTTCTTTCTTTCTTTCTTTCTTTCTTCTTTTTCTTTTTATCTTTCTCTTTTTTTCTTTACCTAATAATATTGTTTGCTCAACTGTTAGCATG